GTAGATTAAGTTCTTATTACAAAAATTTGTACAAGATTGTACACAAAAGCAGTTGCAACGGTTGCTTGGAATCGCTGTTTCACATATAATTGTCGCATTGCAGCCGCTGAAGCGATTTTCTGCCGAACTCCTCCTCCAATTTTCGTTATGTTGCTATGCTTTTTGTTGTTTCTCAACAAATAGAGGCTTTAGGCCTCTCTATTCTAAGATGTTCCTGAACGGCCGAAGGATTTTTGTGAGCAGCTTTTATTTCATGTCAGAAATACATTCGGTGGCTTGAAATTAACTTTCTGCAACTGGGCTAACTCGATCTCTGGCCTACCGAATGACAGTACGTAATGCTAACCACTCGGCTATTGTATACAGAGGTCAAAACTGCGATGACGAGTGTATATATAATATATACATAAATAGCGGTAACATGCATAAGTATATAATACCATTGACGCTTTATTACCGCTGTAGCGATTTTCGGCTGAACTCCACCAAATTGAAATCGCGTCTTGATGTATTTTCAACAAATGGATGTGAGGCTGCTAACGTTAAGGCAATTTTAACAAAATTTAAGTATTTACATTAACAACTTGAGAGAAAACTGCGTTATGTGACGCACATACATATATGTACATACATAGGTTATAATAGAATTAAAGAAAGGCGTTACTGAAAATACCAACTTTCGGAAGATTGGTTGCTGGAATGTGCTTGTTTTAATAAACTAAATAGTGTTTTATTTATCAGCATAGACCTTTTAATTACATATAGCAAGGCTGCGTTAGAAAGATGAAATTTCGCACTAAAAAAGTCTTTCTGACAGTTTTGTGATTGGTTGATTCAGTTTTGCTTGAACGTGTCTCGGTTTAATTCCGGTCATTTTGATGTAAAAGATGTTTTACGGAGTGGAAGGCTAATTGTCGAAAATGTCCACACTGTTTCGATTGACCAAGAGCTAAAGATTGCACGAAAACCCGTTTCAAACCATTTCACATTCAACTTTATGCAAAAATAATGGATTTATTTTTATCACACCTAATATGTATGTGCTGCCAAAAATCGCTTAAGCGGTTACAAGGCGCCAATTATATATAACATATATGTTTGTACATATACATATAGTAAAGATGAAAAGTAATAGTTTTTTTCTACGCCACGAAGCTTTTATTTTATATCAGAAATACACTAGGAGGGCTTGATATTTCCCTGCCAAGTGCTCGTTTTGAGAGTGTAATTCAAATGGGCGACTCTCAATTGGTATTTATCGTAATTCTGGCTTTAAAGCTTTAAAATATATATGTTTTAAAATATATACATACATACGAGTATGTATTTTCAAACGACTGACGTTACAAATTTCTTCAACTATTACGTTAATGAGTATTCATAAATTATTCACTTACGTCTGATTCCCCAATCCATCATTTTGCAACTGTGTGCGCAAATGCTCCTCAACAATGACACACATTAAAATCCAATAAACCACACACCCCTACCCTGCCACTAATTAAATCACTTTCCTGCATCCTTTGTTTTATGAAATACACAATCTCCATACATAATCACAATTTTTTCTTCACAGTTCAGATGAACAATTCGACATTGAATCAACAGATTAGTACAAAAATATATGCCAACAAAAGAAAAATTTATCTTATATGCAACATTTTGTAAAAATAATTAAATATTAGTATAGGAAAAACTTGAGATATCTTTTTATACTAAAATAACAATTTTCACACCGACAAATTAAGAAGCGGTGTGCTTGAGAGCACCGTTTCTTTGTGACTATAGCCAAACGAGTGGCCATGACAATTGGAGAGCGAAATACGCGGGACACATACTTCCACTCTACAACTCAAAACAACACCAATAGCGGCATGTACGAGGATACTGCCGACAACGAAGTGTGGAGTAAAACAAAGCAACAACAACTTGAAGGATAACACATTCTTTATGAAAAAAAAAACGCAACAATATCTTTCAGCAAGTAACTCACCAGCTTATAGTACAATCACTACGACAGGCCGAGAGTAAAAAAATAGAAAACGTCGCGACTTATGTCCACTAAGGGTGAAAACCGCTCACGAAAAGGTACACATGCGCTTCATACATGTGAAATATATGTCGACGAATAAGTCAAGTGGAATAATCATATCTTATCGCGGCGGTGATTACAAATATGTAGGTGACTGATATAAATATACAAATACACGTACATATTTATATGTTTATACTGGTGCTTATGCTCAAGAAATATGCAATAGGAAATATTTTCATTTTTCAATTTGGTAAGATAAAAATTGTAGTGAACAATTTATAACAAAAAATACCTTTGTACACTTATGTTTATACGAAAATTACATATATAAAATCTACATAGATGTCATGTGGTTAGAAACAATATAATTTACATTTTCTGATGCGATTTTCAACCATAAACTAAAATCTAGAATAAAGAATAGATATTTGTGAGTAAAAATATAATATGTCTTTGTGACACAGTTATTCCAGGTATTCATTAAACTTTACATTAAAACATTGTTGTTATATGTGATTGCAAGACCGTTACATTGGACTCTTCACTTAGATAATGTAGAAATTTCAATTAGATACTGCTGACGTTTTATGAATATTACAAGTAAAATTGTAAGTTGTAACTTATGAAGGTGTAAAATATTATTATTTGTCGTTGGATATATGATATTTTTCCTGTCGTTTTGCAGAGAAACCGTGTAATTATATTACTCAGCCTTCCGCAGCGAAAAAACCTGCAGGTAACATGCGGCAATTTACAAATTTACCTCCAAGGATTCAGCCATTCAACATCATTAGCATAAACTATATACATATATACTCCAAACATTAGCACAAATAGCGACATTATTATCATTTGACTTTACAGTTATACCTCGATGAGGAACAGCGACAACAAATTATTTCAAATGTTTTTTCTTAAACTCATAATTAGTTTATTTTGTACAGATAAAGCCATTTTTAAGAGAACATTGCACTCTTTTCTAAAATCGGAGCATGCGCAATAATAAAATTTTCTTTAGCCGAACTACACTGTAAAAAAATTTGTTGACGAACAAAATAATCATTTTCTCTTATCGTGCCCGCAATTACCTATTTTCAATTTGGATAAGATAAAAGCAATACTAAATAAAAATTTAAATTAAAAATGTTTAGCTTGTATAACGAAAATGTGTACGCTTCTTTGATGTTTCTTCTTCTTGTTGTTCTTGTAGGCACCACTCACGCAATCATAGCTAAGTCAACAATATCACGTCAGTAATATCGTATTTTTGGCGTTCAACGTCTTTCTAGTTACCCGAAATTGTTTACAAGTTCGAAATTATGATTATCGAAAATGACGCAAGTTAGAACAATTGAGAGTGCGAGGGATATTTCGTCTTGGGTGGTAATTGAAGGGTCCTCCATTTTAATAGTAAGCCGCCTTCGAACGGCTGAAAGTTTTTTAGGAACTTTTTATTTCATGTCAGAGTGTGTATTGATTGATATTCCCTGCCGAGATGCGACCTCAGTTAGAAAAATTAACTTAATTATTTATTTGAATAAAGTTTCTATAATTTTTAGATATTGACCGGACCAGGATTCGAACCCTGCCCTTCGGAATGGCAGTACGAAATGCTAACCACTCGGCTATAGTGGTACTCATCTCCTATACTTAGGGTAAATGAAATTTATTAAATAAAACTTTGTTATCTTCCCACAATCCTATCGCTATCTTTCGCTGGAACAATATTAAAAAAAAACTATTTAGCAGTTCTACTATAAACTTGATATTAGTTTATCAAGCTACATATGACATAATATTCTTACAAGTATACATAGCTCAATAGTTTAATAGCAGACAACCAATGTATGTATGTAATATTTTTATTCCGATACTTTTCGTTATTTAGTAGGCGGGGCAACGACCGTCCAAAACAAGCACAAAACCTGAATGTTTTAAACGAAAGGGTCGTTTTAAAAATAGTAGAAATTGTATGAAAACGAATCACTATTTGCGAATAACAGCATATTTCTCTTAAAGAACATATTCAAAATGTTTGATTCTAAGTTTTCTCCAAATATTAATTTGTCTAAGATATTTTTACCTTAAAAACTTGTTAGGCAATTTTTTATATGAATACAACAATAAACACTTTTTCTACGCATCTATAATACAGATAAATTAATAATTAATTTTATTTTATTAGAACTTCATTTCTTGCAGACACTTTCCCCCGATTTCAGTTTTTCGTTTCTCAACCGAATGCAAATTTTTTAACTTACTTAATTTTTTGTAACAATCTTTTGTTATTTTCTTGGGCATTGTGTTTTCCCAATAAGAATATTATTATTTGGTTTATATTTCATTCAATTATACACAACGTCCAATTGTTATTCCAGCATTTTGGCGAAAAAATCATTTGCGAACCGCACATATAAACTCTCTCCGTTCTCATTCGCTACTGAATTGTGTGCGTTCAAATTATTTCGATTCAATAGTCAGGTCAACCAACATAAAATTATGCGGAAGCCGTAAGGCAATAAAATCTCAGGCCTCCCAAAAATATAAACAAAATTTGTAATGCACCGAAAACTTTAATGGGCATTCCGTGTCGACAGCACACTCCAGTTCCCGCCCATCCATAATTATTGATAAAACATTTCTTAATTGTATGGAAATGTAACGCAGCATAAAGCTAAGAGCTAGCTACAAGCAACAGATGTAACTACATAAATAGATGCACAGAATATGTACGATTGTATATGTAATATCAAGTAACGAGCACTACAACATGTTAATACAATACATATGCATCTTCCTGAGCACTTACAGTCGACAAAATACTTTCTACGAGAGAGGAGTGATGGATGATTTTATGAATGAAATTACATATTTCTTTTTTCTTTTTCAAAAATATATCAGTATTTAGCTGGAAATGAGATATTCGAAGCGAATTTATGCTTAGATGGAATGGAAGTTTGCTTACCTCGCGATGTTGGATGGTTCATCAGTATCGATAGCGGGCATTCATCATCGTCTAGTATGTATTCTGTACCATCGCTGTTTACCTACAATAACATTGGAACAATAATACATTTTTTTCTTTGTGATGTTAATTGTGTAAGTCATTCAAACCTGCACCAGACAATAGTGTAAGGGATCAGCTTTGTCCAAACCATATTTCGCCAACATTTCCCTCACGACTGCTTGTGCACAATCTCGTATCGACAGCAACAATGTTTTGTATGGCACATCTTGACATAAGCTCTCACCGTAAATCTTCAATGTGCCACCAGTGTCAGGTCCACCATCACGTGAACGAAATTGTTGCAACTTCTTTTCAAGCTTCTGTTGTCGTCTGCGGCGCATAACCGCTTCTGGATTGGATATTGAGCGCGTAAATGACGTCTCTGGTAACTCCGTGTACAGTTTGCCTGCCACCTGAGTTTCACCCTCTACGCCACCGTTGGCAATGCCACCGTTGACGCCACCAGCTGTCGACTCAGAATTTAGTTTTGCGAGTTTTTCCTTCTTTTTTTGCTCCTTCTTTTCACGCTTAGACAATTTTCGTTTAAAGTTCATTTCGGACTGTTCAATCGGCTAAAAAAAAAAATGGTAAAATAATAAAAGTAATAAAAGGGTTCGAGTAAAAACTAAACGCTTCATGAGTGAATATTTTCACAAAGGGTTATGCTTTCGCCGTTATGAAATTGTCTTATTGTTATATAGGAATTCATTGGTATTAACATACACAATATTTAATTCAATACTCCAAGTAAAATTAAGACTTTGTAAAAAAGTAAAACTCGGCGGATGTTTACTTTCTGGTTCTCTTAATTCTTTTACTCACCGTTGTTTTTTGGTCTATGTTTTTAAGCAAAAATCGACCCTCTCGATCGTCAATATGCCAGTTCAACTGTACAAGCAACGGCTTTTCGTCAGGGTTCAAGCGGCGCTCCTCCCCATTCGCATGAACTTCATACAGGGCGTAATTTGGCACTGACAACATTCGCATGTCGGGACGGAATTTCTCGATTAGAGTGTCTGCGAAAACGTGGTAACAGGTGCGGAAAACGAAATGTTAAATATGTGCGGAAATAAATTATAACAACAATAACCATACCGATAACATCTGAAACGGTGGCATCAGAGGCCACACGAATACACTTAGTTGCTACTTTTTGTCCAGCATCTTGGAAATAAAAACGCATAACGCCATGAAATAAAAGATTCTAAGAGAAAATGAGAAAATGTGGAACTAGTACTCATATGAATTCAATTTCAAATTTCACTTACTTCATCTGGTTCGGATAGGGCAAACAAATCCAACCGGTTCGCATTCCATTGCTGGATAACAGAACGTACGGCTTCTCGATCAAGCATTTTTCTATCGTGTGTCATACTTAAAAACTTGCATACGAAAAATTGCGGATGCGTCTAGCATTTGGGTATCTAGTTGTTGCTGAAAAAGTAAAAGAAAATATGTGAGTTTATCATTATTTTCACAATGTAAGCTGTAAATATAAGTTAAATAATTTAAATTAAATGCAAATGTTGAAATTCTACTAAGCCTAAGCACCATTTATATATACCTATAAAGTTAGAACGCTACCTAATGTATGTAAATGCGCATACGCACACATGCATATAAATAAATAAATACGAGTATGCAGGCAATAAAAAAAAATCGTATGTGGGTTATCTGCAGCTTCGTATTTCACGTTGGCTTGAGTTTACCTCAGTGCTTTCTTTGTGTATTTTTTTGTATTTTTTTGTTTTTTTTTTGTTTTTTTTTTGTTTTTTTGTCATTAAAACAAATTTGTGTCTACCAAATTGAGGGTGCGTTTCGTGTTGCTTTTAGTAGAAAAGAAACCATGCATGTCACAACAGAAAACGTTTCACTAAGACATAATACAACAACTGCACGCTTGTGCCGATACCAGTGCGGCAAAGCGAAGAATGGGGCTGCATCAGTCGGGTTCAAAAGCTGTCTTCTCGCTGTGTTATTAACCGTAAATAGTTTAGACTTTTTTGCCGTCTTATTTTCTGAGTCTACTTTTGTTTGTAGTATTTGTTTGTTTAATAACCGTCGACGGTTACACTTAGCTGATCACAAACGGAAAATGAGACAAAATGGGCAGCCAATTTCATATTCTATTCCATGCCGTTTAAGGCGGATACTTTTTAAGCAATTGAGTTTAATTTTTTTTTTTAATATTTTTGTACTGAATAATGCGTTTGCAAATTTTATTAAGCTCGTATATATGTAGATAGCACAAGAGCATAAACATACATACGTATGTATGTATGTATATATGAACATTTAAATTTTAACATACAATTGATTAATTAACTTTGAAATTGACTTAAGAATTGATCGAAGATTCAAACCGAGTTTTTTTATTAACCTTTTTATCATGAAATCTGTCATTCTAAAATAAAAATAAAATAAATATAAAACTGTTTAAATTATCAAGCTGTATTTTATGGTTGGCTGCATACGTTTACAACGCAATAACTTCTGTTAAATTTACCACAATATGAAGCCAATAATATCACAGCAGTAAATGTATGACCCGTACATATATTTTATAGCAAGATTTTTCCAACAAAAACATTTTATATTCTTTCTAACGATAAATGTATTGAAACGTCTAAGAATTGCATTTATAAAGGGTGATCCATTTCGAGTTTCCCTACTTTTTGTTTTAAGAAAAAAAAAAACACAGAAAATTCAAATTTATTGGGGGATGAAAGAACATTTTTTGACATTTAAATTTTAAATGTTGGCGACATGCGTGATGTTTTGCTCAAAGGCCTGAATCGAAACGGTCGATTGTTTGCATAGAGTTGAGACTTTACATATTCCCAAAGGAAAAAAGTCTATCACATGATCTTGGTGGCCAGGCGCCAGGCTCTCAATGTGAAATTATTTGCTCAACGAAGTGTTTTCTTAATAATTCCGTGGAGTGATACCATGTGAGGGAAGTGTTGAAACCAAATTTCGCCGAGATCACGAGCTTCAGTCCAGACATCAAATAGTCGGTTCTCATGGCACGGTTTCGTTCTCATTGGCATAATTTTTAAAAAAGCACGGACCGAACCACATCAAACCGGAATGGATGGCAGCTCTTGAATTTCGCTTGTTTTCATACCCATTGAGCCAGAAATGGGGCTCATCGCTGAACAAAATTTGGCTCGAAAACGTCGGATCGATTGAGGAGGTCATGCGGGTTCAGTTCTTGCACAACCTGTATTTTAATTTAAGATCTCGGCGTAAAATGCGCCATTGAAAAAAGTACCTTTACTTGGATTATCCTATATAATCATTTAACAACACTCGAATTTGCTTTTACCCGGATCAACTGCCACCGTGCTCTACGAAATTTTTTTCAGCCAGATTTATTCATGGGATTAATGATGAGCACTTTTATTTTATCAAATAATTTGGGGCTGAACGTCCTCAACTGAAATAAGAGACCGAACCTGAAAATGATGTTGAAAAACATATAATTCAATAACTTGCTGACTGATTACAACGACACTATAAGCTGGAAATGTGGCTAAATAAATAAAGGCGAAAATCGGCAAAAAACCAAATAATTAGATCATATTTTTGACATCAAATGTGTTTTCATTACATCAAAAAAACAAAAAAAAAATCGTAAATATAATTTTGATAGCTGAAAATATAATAAACTGAAGACGGACCTGCTTCTCACAAAACCTTCTCAAAGTTAATAAAAAAAACTGTATTACCATTTATTTGATAAGGCATCTTTTATGACCTAGATTTATTTATTTTTTAACAGCGGTCACCGTTTCATTATTTTGACAACATTTGACCTCAAATATGTCCTAAAGAAAACCAGGCGTAAAAGAAATTATATCTCATAAATTTTATACTTATTTGAAGATATCGGTCATGAAGACATTCGGAGGTGTTGACGTTTCCTGTCAAGGGTGACCGCTATTAGATAAATTAACATTTTTTTAATTTTAATTTTCCATAAATTTTGGATGTTGGTCGGATAGGTGGAAAAAACCCGGAATTAAGCACTTACGCTGGTGCATTAGCTCACGACGCATTTAAGCACAGGACGGTTAGACAAATTCAAAAACCAGTACGATGAATTTACTTCAAAAAATCGTATGTCGAGCTTATGCTGACATTCAAGATTGCAATGACTGTATTGCCAAGACTGATACAAAAAAATTTCGAGTACAAATAATATTTACAAATAAGATAAGGGAAACAGAAATTGAACACAAAAATTAGAAAATATTTTTATGTTATTAAAACTTGAAAAATAATTGGGACAACATTTTACGAAGAAATATAGTTAAAGGTAAAATTGCAATTTATTCGGAATTAAACAATAGAAAATGTAACATTTTACTAAATGAAATAATTGCAATGTTTTAGGGAATAAATGATATACAATTTGTCAGATGTTCTTATCATGGCAAGAATATAGAAATAAAAAATGAAACTTATAAATATATGCATAATTATCATAAAAATGGGACGAGATATACTGGTATAGTGGAAACTATAATTTAATTGGATTTGAAAAACATACATTCGAGTATAATATCAATTTTACAGTTTCTAGTAAATTAAAATAAGATCGAAACCCAGTAAGTTAAACACAAACACCACTGATATAAAAAAAATTGTACATACGAATGTGTACGCAATTTTAAATCAAATTTCCTAACGTTTATTGATTGTTTATTAACATTAGGGATAGCTTATTATTTACAAGATAGGAATTATCACACTAAAATTGGAAAGTTGGGGAAAGTTTCGAAATTAATGATAATGAGTTTAAATGCATAAATATGATATTAAAGATTATTTATGACTATACCATTAGAACAACGCTGAACAGTAAATTCTGATGGTCCAAGTGCGAGTTGTTGAAAAAGAAAACAGGAAACCAATCCACCGAAAACGCATAACTCTTCACAAGGACAATGCGAGCTCTCACATATCGACTGAACCAATTGCATTTTTGAACACTAAAAACATCGATTTGATGAATCCTGCAATATAATTATGACTTGCCACTGAATGACTTCTTTTTGTTTCCTTACGTTAAAAATTAACGGAGAGGTCAACGTTTTTCGACACCTGAAGAGGCGGTTGACGTGTTCAAAACGCAAGTTTTGGAGATAATTCAATTAGAGTGGCATAATTGTATAGACTTTAACGAAGAATATATTTGAAAACAAAGCGATTTGAGAAGATTAATAATTCTTTTTCACTCAACTCATTTGCTTTGTTAAAAATAATTTTTATAATAGGCACATTTTTAATAGTTTATAAATTGTTAAGGGTCAAGTAGTAAGTAGGGACAGGTTATATCATAATTAACATGCTCATTAGCTTAACAACCATTTTGTTAGAAAAGCAACTTTTATTTTTTATTTTCTAATTTGTATGTCCAATGCAAGGAGTGCATAACAAAGAAAATTTTTGGAGAACTCTTTTGAGTCCGGCGGTCAGATTCTTAAGGAATTAGTCTCCTTTAGAACCAGAAAAAAGAGTATTTTCAGCAATTTTTTTAATGAAAGGAAATTATTGTGATAAACGACATTTTCAGTCAATAATGTACTCTATTTAAGCTTCAAAAATAATTTTTAGTATCATAAATTATTGGAATTTTCCACATTGTGATGAGTTTTCTGAAGCGGCTGCAGGCTGAACTCGTAAAACGGTGCCGGTGATGGAGGGTCGTGCGATACATCTGAAACAATAGTCCCATTTTTTATTTTTATTTTTATGAGTGCCTCTTTGTATTAACTAAAAAAATTCCGAAGAAGTTGGATAGCTCTAGATTCTAATGAAGTTTGGAAAACAAGTAAAATTCACTTCGATTTACAAAAATAAAATAGTTTAAATAGTATTTTTGTCCGAATTTTGTAGTTCAAGTAGAAGATAATTTAAAACTGAGCTAAATCCCTTTGATTTTTATACTATAAAATATTCTTTTTGTTATCACCGGCACCTTTTTTAAGACTTGTAAAAATTATAACTCGAGAAAACGGCTTAAAGTTCTGCTCTAGCTTCTAATATATTTCGAATTGGACACGAAATTTTAAAGACATATGCTTGGATAGTTTGCCTTAACATGTAGGGCCCCTCCGATTGTTGCATAAACATCAAGATTGTACAATATACTCGTATAAAAATTGTGTTTTGTAACCGCTGAAGCGATTTTTGACCGATTGTTTTTGGAGTTCTGACCGAAGATTGCTGACACTTGCTGATGCAAGTTCTACAAAGCAAGCAAAAATCCGATTATACGATGTCGCACTGAAGGTTGGGCAGTTGGCAGCGGTAATGTTCTACTCGAAATTATACTTGAAAACTAATTTTATGTTCACGGTTGAAAACACATTTCGCTTATAACAGTTAGCATTCAATAATTAAACAATTAAAATTTCAGATGTTAAACTTATGTATTTGTTGTTTTATCGTCAATTAATTAATGCCTTGGCGTTATGTACTTGTATCATCTTTTCATTTATTTCACTGATACTGTCAACGTTTATGGCCTATTTGTTCTGTTTTGATTCTGTATTTGCTTTTTTATGGCTTCTCTATATGGCCATCAGCTTTGTTTACGTTTGCCATTCGTTCTGTCTTATAGCCTCGTGCATATGTTGTTTTACTTTGTTTTACCTTCAGCGAACTAAAACTTGGGAGAGACTTCTTGTCGACTAGCTACATAATATATGTTTGTACAAATATTGTATATGTATGTACAGTACAGTACAGTATGTACTCGGATGTACACTCATTCTTAAGACGAACGTTTGTTGTTGGCACTTTTTGCTGATTTAGTTCGTGCTTTTTCCCTTATTTCGAGATTTTAATCCAATTTCATGGCAATGTATTTAATATTGCATTACACGTTTCTACTTTATTCTATTCCTCAACTTTCCGGTCGCCTCACAACATTACTATGCCTTTTGCACGTAACAGTTTCCAACTTTCTTTGTTTTTCTACTCTTTGTTCGCCGTATGTAATAATTCAAAGCGAAAATACCAAACTGGTTGTTGACTTTTTAACTCGCACTCGTACCTTGGCGTTGCGTGCCTTTACCGTTATAAGTTCACAAAAGTACAGTGTGTATGTACTGAGATAAGCAGTATATCTAATTGCAAAAATTGTAGGCCATTGAGCGTAAAATATATGAGACAAGCGAAAATTTTTTTCAAGTTAAAAAAAAATAAATAAATAAAACAACAACACCTCCAACGGGGTAAAGTTATTTATAATTGCTCGCCGATATGGACACTTAACTACACAGTTTATGTAGTAACATATTTACAGATTAGATACTTTTTTCAACAGGGAATTAGGCCAAAAACAAAAATGATTTAGACGACACATTACCGCTAAAAAGCTACAGCTTAAACTCAAATCTGCAGTTTACCATACTTTTGAACAAGAAGTCTGGACTTCGCCTTAACAACAAAGTCCTCTTATGGAATCCAGTTAAGAGGCACAGCTTGCCCGACGAATATAGATATAATTCAAAGTTTCCAAGCGAAAAAGTTAAGAGTAGTAACGGGTGCCAATATCCGCAGAGATCTAGATATATCCAGCATCAAAAGATAAATTAAAATCACAGCACAAAAATATTCAACAAAACTGCGTAATCATCCAAATACTTTGCCCAACACCCTAACCTACTCAACAAGTCAAACCAAACCCCCCGAAGGGCAGAGCTAAACCAGCCTTCTGAAGAGCAACGTTGAGCCTGCAGCATATTCCTGCTAATGGCCTTTGTTTTTTTGTTTACTTTAAGATTTTATTACGTATTGTTAGGCTTCGCATGTCGAAGCAGATCCAATAAATAAATAATAATATCATATCTAAGAATAATTAACAAAAAACAATAAAAAATTGAAATCTAATATTAGGACAATTTTTCGAACCGTTTACATTGAACCGCAATACAACTCAAAAACTCGAATTTATTAATAACGATTAATGATGTATTATAATAAGCTCCCATTAAATTTGTACTCCCGAGCGTATGCATGGGTTTAACTAAAAAAAAATTTCTCTTTGGTTTGACGACATTATTTAATTAAATAAATATGCCTTTACCCATTGACGTGATGACATGAATATTTATGTTTAGATAGTCGAATAGACTATACCAATGCAATAAATAACTCAATTACAAAGTACGCATAGTATGAATTTAATTAAAGAAAAATTCGAATAAAATAAATAAATTAATTTTCTAATTTCTGTGCCAAATACCCGCATATTTATTGCTTAAACTTAAAACAAAAAAATTAATTATGCCACATAATTCCAACATTTTGCTATATTTCATTGCCACTTGACGCAAAGTATCTACACACTTTCACCCCTGCACGTGTTATGAAATGCCCAATAGTATTTCACAAAGCACTAATGTGAATTTGTATTCCACATGCGTTCATGCCACTGCGTATT